GTGGAGTCATCTGCTGCTCTCTTTTGAGCCTACTAGAAACCTATCAGTCTACGCTGTTAGGTAATAGTGATACAAGAAATACTATTCAGCATCATCGTCATCACCATCATCATCATCATCGCCAACAGTATCACCATAATCACCATCAGCATCATCATCATCAACAACATCCTCATCACAATCACCGTCGTAGTCACCATCATCGCCGTCACCACCTCGTCGTCGCCATCATTATCACAGTCATAATCATAATCAGCATCAGCATCATCATCGCACTCATGTTAGCACGTAGAAGAATATTGATCATACTAAAAATGAGAGGTCACAGAGCACAAAGTGGGTGACTGTCGCGTGGGATTACTCTGAATGTATCCCGGGATTGCCGTTCCAGACAGCCAGATAGCCCGGCGTGTATACCTGTTGTGTGCGATTTTTCCAAATGTAGCCTGGGAATGGCGTTCTGGGAGGTCTCGGAGCACGAAGTGTGTGACTCTTGCATCCTGTTATTCCGAATGTGGCCTGGGAATGGGGTTCTGGGATGCCAAAGAGCTCGAAATGTATGACTGTTGCATCCCGTTAATCAGAATGTGGCCCGGGAATGGCGTTCTGGGAGGTCAAGGAGCACCAAGTGTGTGACTGTTGCATCCGGTTATTCAGAATGTGGCCTGGGAATGGGGTTCTGAGAGGTCGACGAGCACGAAGTGTGTGACTGTTGGTGAAAAACGAGCCCGGCACAGGCCCGGCACCCTGCCGGCCGGCAACTCCCAACGCCTGCCCGGACCCCCCTGTGGAGTGATCTGTGAGCTCTTTTGAGTCAACTAGAAACCTATCAGTCGACGCTGTTAGGTAAAAACCAATGAAAATCAACGATTTTGGCAACTTGGGGCCCTCTTCGGAGGCCTCTTGGAAGGCCCTTGGAGCGTCTTGGAGGCCTCTTGGGCTGTCTTGGGGCCATCTGGGGCGTCTCCGGGCGATCTTTGGCCGTCTCGGGCCTCTCTTGGACCGTCTAGAAAGCTTCTCGGGGCCCTCTTGGACCGATCTGGAGCCCTCTTGGACTCCGAAACAGAACTCCGGCATCTCTGACCCGACCTTGCCGGGGACTTGCCGGGGACTTGCCGGGACCTTGCCGGGGTACTTTTCGCCCGGGGACCCCCAGGGGCCGCCCCGCGCGCGCGAACTAGAAATACTGTTAACCAGGTACCGGAGATCTTAGCACGCCCTGGCCCGTTGGGCCGCCGAATTTGTGTGTCCTGGGGCCCCTTCAGGTTTAGAGGTGGAGGCTCAGTCTGCTGCTGCCCGCTCGCAGTTGCCCCACGGGGGTCCTGGTGCTGCGCAGGTGGTGGAGCGTCGGGGGCACCTAGACCCCCGACAGCCTCATTTTTTCGGGTCTCGGGGCCACGGACCTCTCGACCCTTTTCGTGGGAGCAGTTTTTCGCCCCGAGTCGTTTCTTGACTGCCCGCTGGGTGCGCAACCCCCGAAGGCAGACTCGTCGAACAGCCTCGGGCTCGATAGCTGCGAGAGCCTCTGGAGGTCATGGCAGGGCTGGCGCGCACCCCCCTCGGGCTCCCGCCGTCCCACGGCTGCTGTGCCGGGGGCGAAGCAGCGGCTGGCTTCCGGCAGGTGAGCGGGGCACGGCTCCCTCCCCCTTTCCTTGCCGGGGCATCGGGGGCAGGCGAGGGCGGGCGAAAGGGCCACCCCGGCGAGCCGACGTTCGCCCGGCCCGCGCGCCCGCCACCCGAAACCTCCCCTTGACGGCAGCGAGCTCGACGGCAGGCCCGCCGCCCCCCGCCCCCGCACCTCCCCCTCTTCCGAGTCCGGCCTTAGCGAGCACGTGCATGCCAAGCTCCAGCGCTTCCCTTAGCGAGCCCGCGCCGGCCTGCCCAGCGCACTCCGCGGTGGCGCCTTGGGGTGCGGCCTGCTGGGCCCCGGCGGGGGGCGCAGGCGCAGATGCCGTCCGTGACGCTGCGGCCGCGGACGCGCCGCCGGGGGGCGAGGGCCACCGAGCGGCCACGGGGGGGGCGGCTGCTGGGGTCGTGTGCCAAGCCGCCAGGGGCTCTCCCGGAGGACGTGCTGGACGCATGCCGGCTGCTGGTGCGGCGCGCGTGGCGGCGCTGACCTTTGGAGCCCGGCAGCCCAGGCAGAAGAGCGTGCCCGCGGGGGCTCGGCCGGCTGCGGCGCCCGACCGCTGCTGCGACTGCCAGCGGGGCGTCCGCGCTCGAGCCAGCCAGAGCCGCGGACCAGCGGCGGAGGCGGCGACGGCCAGCGAGCGGGTCGTCGAGGCAGGAAGGCGGCCCACGGTGCACAGCGCGTCGCCGCGGCCGCCCGGCATTCCTGCCTCGGGCGGTGGCCCTTCTGCCGCGGGGTTGAGCGCGCCGGCCGCGGCGGGGTGGGCGGAAGCTCATCTCTGGACGGGACCATGTTCACCAGGGGAGTTGATTTGTTGGTTGCAATGTTTGTATGTGTGTTCCTTTTTGTTGCTCTGTTCGTTGCTGTGTTCGTATGTCTGTTCCTCTTTTTTTTTTTTTGGTGCGGCGTGTTGCGCTTCACAGTTTGTTGAGCGTTACCGTGTTTGATGGATTTGGGTTCTTTGGTTTGGTCTCCTCCATTTCGACGGGGGTGGCTGAGTCACGGGCACGCGTATGCCTGCGGCCGCGCGCGTCGCTCGAGCGGTTCGCGGCGTTTGCGATTGCGCGAGGCGGGGCGCAGTGCGTGCCCGACTGCGTGCGCGTTGCATTATAGTGGCGGATTCGCGTTGCACGAGGGCGTGGATTTTGTCTGGTTAGGAAGTGGCACACCGAGCCAGCGCGCGCGTCACGTATGTGGATAATGCCATACATTTGCGGTCGCGCTCTTCATGGTAGCGCGCCGCTCGTGCATCGCTGATGCGGCTTGCCCGAGGTACGCTTGAACTGAAGGGATAGAATTCCCTGCGTGTTTGCTTCGATTTGATGCTGGTCGCGTGGCGCATTGTTCGTAGTTTGCCCTTCTTCGGCTCGCGCGTGCTTGCGCCTCTTCGGCGTCGCTTGTTTTGTCGGCGAAGCCGTAGAAACTTCTTCCGCGCCACCGTTTTTTTCCTTTTGGAGTGTCGGCGCCGCGTAGGTCTCGCGACGCCGACATATCGACACTTGGCCTGACAATGGGCGTTGGTTTTGATTCCTGTGCGCGAGTGTTGCATTATGTTGTGGACCGTGATTGCTTCGCGTGTGGTTGTGTTTGAGTGACAGTGACCGTTCATTATTATTCACTTTCCCTCCTCCTCCTCGTCCTCCTCCAACCCTTCCGTTCCCATCGCTGCAATTACATATTGCCCCCGTTCCTTGGCTTCGCGTAGGGGGGGGGGCTTGTGGGTCCATGGGAAACATACCTCCTTCGAGCCATCATCGTTCATATCCAGCTGCCTTGCGGCACGTTCCTTCGCCGCGCCAGCCCACCACTCTGTGTGGCGATTGCAGGACATGACAATGATCTTGGGGATGCTGATGGCGGCGACGACTACGACGATGAGGAGGAGGAGGAGGAAGAGGAGGAGAACGGGAGGGATAAGAAATCGGAGAACGAGGAGGGGCATGAAGACAGGAGGAGGAGGAACAGGAGGAGGAGGAGGAGGAGGAGGAGGAGGAGGAGGAGGAGGAGGAGGAGGAGGAGGAATGTGACAACCGTCACATGTGGCACGCTTCGGCCTCACGTCTTGTGACTTATCATGGAGTTAATTTGGGCCGTGCTAGGGCTGTCTTGAGCTCCTGCGGGGCATTCATGCGGGTTTCTTAGACCTCTTGTGCCGTTTTGGGGCCCTCTTTGGGCTGTCCTGGGATCTCTCGTGCCGTCTCGGGGCGAATGCCCTCTTCGGGGACTGTTGGTGCCGTCGTTGAGCCAGCTTGGAGGTTTCTCGGGGTCGTCCTGGGCCGTCTTGGGGCCCTCTTGGGCTGTCTTGAGGCCGTCTGGGTTGCAGTGGGAACCCATGCCAAGAAACACCCTGCTTTCCTCCAGGATACCCCGGCTTTCTTGGGTTCCGATGATTTTGCTACGGAAAGCGCGACGATCTCACACCCACAATCAATGGACGTCCTGTGGTCTCAGGGTTGGGTTTCTTGCCGAAGGTTTCTTGTGGTCGAGCTCCTATTACATTCCTTGTCCGTATTGGGCCGTTTTGGGGCCATCTTGGAGGTCAGTCGGGTCATTCTGAGCGGACGGAGGCTCGATAGGCCGAGAATGTGAAGATTGTGCTCCCAAACTGAGGGGCATCATCCGTGAGTTAGCCTCTTCCGGCCCTACGGGGTGTCCACTTGGAGCCCCTTCGGGCCGTCTTGGGGGTCTCGTGGCCGTCTTCAGGGCAGTTTGGGCCGCTTTTGGGGCACACGGTGGGGGCAGTGAGTGGTTAAGGAATTTGCCCTGGCGGCTGCAGACCCTGGAGGATTCCTTATCTGATGAGGGCGGCGGTGATATCCATGGCCAATCCACGATTGGCTTCCCATTGGCTTCCAGACCCTGGATGCCTTATCGAAGGTTTCCTTACCCAATGCCAGCACCGTATCGGGCCACGTCGGCGGCCTTGGTGACCTGCTGGGGCTGTCCTAGAAACCATTTTTGGGAGAATCCGAGAGCGGCCTTGGAGAGCACCAGGGAGGGAGGCGCCAGGGCGCCCGACAAGCGCTCGGGAGCGGGGGGGCGGGGAGGTGCACACGCCGGTGATTTTGCTGCACGTGTCGGGAAGGCCAGCGCAAGTGGAGAGTTGCGTTCGGCGCGTCCTGAAATCTGTCGGGCTCTGTTTCGGGGGTTGCTACCAGGTGCCCCTGGCCCAGGTGCTCCCCACCTTCTCGCTTCATTTTGGAGCTTGGCTCCCCCCCCTCCTCGTCCCCCCCCCTCCTCGTCCCCCCCTCCTCGCCCCCCACCCCCTCGCCCCCCCCCCGTCCTCGTCCCCCCCTGTTGGCTTCCCCCCCCTCCTCGTCCCCCCTCCTGCCAGCCAGCGGCCGGCCGGGCGCCTCCCCCTCCAGCGCCCCAGGTTTGCTGCGTCCCCGGAGGGCGGTGCCGCGCCGACTGGCACCGAGGCGGGGGGGGGGAGACCGGACGGGGGACGAGGATGCTAAAACGATGCAAAAATCGGGACAAAATCGGATCGGGATAACTCGAAATCTCTGAGAATCGGCGGGTTTGGAGGATGTGTTGGGCGCCGCGGCCGCTCCAGAGCGTTCCGGAACGCTCTGAGAGCGCTCCGGAACGCTCTGGAGCGATTTATCCCGATCCTAGCCCTGTTTTAGATGCATCCGTCTCAGACCGTTCACACATGGGGAGGGACCGCTCAAGCTCTCGTCAGGCCTGCGCAGTGTCCCTGAGAGCACCCACTTGGAAGGGACCTCTCGAGCCGTCGTCGGGCCTGCGCAGTGCCTCTTATGCACACTGAGCTGGCACCGAGGCGGGGGGGGGAGGATCGGACGGGGGACGAGGATGCATCCGTCTCAGAGCGTTCACACATTAGAAGGGACCTCTCAAGCCAGGGGTCGTTCCGATTCCGCCGGTTCGATTCTAGTCGATTTCCGCGATTCCGATTTCGAGCCGACTCGATTCCGGGATGCCGATTCGCGATTCCGATTTCGAGTTTGCCCGATCCGGCTTTTGCCGATTCGATGCGTCAGCCGATTCCTGCCGGCTTTTGCGGATCCGGCCTCGCTCCGGCTCTGGCCCCCAAGGGGAGGAGGAGGAGGGAGGAGGAACCCCCAGAGGGGGAGTCCAACCCCCCCCCCCCCCCCCAGGGGGGGGTTTTCCGAAAGCTCCGGGACCCCGAACCCCTCCCAGGGGGGGGGGTCCGAAAGCTCCGGGACCCCCCCCCCCAGGGGGGGGGTTTTCCAGAAGCTCCAGGACCCCCCCCCCCAGGGGGGGTTTTCCGAAAGCTCCGGGACCCCAAACCCTTCCCAGGGGGGGGGGGTAAGAAGCTCCAGGACCCCAACCCCCCCCCAGGGGGGGGGTCCGAAAGCTTGACAAGCTCTCGTCAGGCCTGCGCAGTGTCCCTGAGAGCATCTACTTGGATAGGGCCTCTCAAGCCGTCGTCGGGCCTGCGCAGTGCCTCTTCTGGACACTGAGCTGGCACCGAGGCGGGGGGGGAGGATCGGACGGGGGACGAGGATGCATCCGTTTCAGAGCGTTCATCAGGCAATCGCGAACATGGATGAAGGAGCGTGGATTAGCGACGGGTCCCGCTTCCGTGGGAAATCGCGGATCTCCGCCCCTGAACGAGGCGGCACCAGCCGCATTCTGGGGAGGGCGCCTCCCCCGATCCATGGATCTGGCGACCGCGCGCCAAATCCATCGATCGCTGATCCGTGTTTGTGCGTCCCCGAGTTTACACAATAGAAGGAACCTCTCAAGCTCTCGTCAGGCCTGCGTAGTGTCCCTGAGAGCACCCACTTGGAAGGGACCTCTCAAGCAGTCGTCGGGCCTGCGCAGTGCCTCTTCTGGACCCCGCGCGGGCCTGACGAAAGCTTGAGCTGTCCTTTCCAATGTGCGAACGCTCTCAGAGCGTTCCGGAACGCTCTGAGAAGGTCGCTGCTCCCGAGACATCCTCCAGAGCCGCCGGATCTCAGAGATTCTCGATCTTGCAGCACCCGATGTTTTCCTCGTCCTGGCCGCGTCTCAGGAGAGGGGAGGCGAGCTTTCTCTGTGTGGTCGCCGTCTTCTGAAATGCCGTCGCTGCGCAGACTTCCGCAGTCTGTGTTATGCTCGCATGTTTTCAGACGTTCTTGTGCCTTCCGTCGGCCCCGCACCGTCGGGAGCTTCCTGGGGGGCCCGGGGTCGTCCCGAAGGGTCGTCCGGGGCCGGCGCTGCGGCCCGAAAGCCGACAAAACCTGATCGCCATGCCTGGCCCAGGGCCACTCCCAAATTTGCCAGGGGACATATGTGAACCCTGACTCTGGGGCCTTCGGTGGCACCCCCCATGAGGCCACGCGCCCCAAGGAAGTCCGCGAGAAAGCCGCGGTCCGCGTCACGCGCCCCAAAGAACGCCGAGGAGCCCTGGAAAAAAACGGTGACGAAAGATCCTGCGAAGACTTCGTGCACTCCCCGAGAAAACGGGAAACGGCGACGCCCAACTGAACGGCCCTGGGCGTCTACGAAACAGCCCTGCCCTGCTTGACTCCTTCTTTGGGCGCGTCTGCTGAACGGCTTCGCGTGTCGGGGTGGCTATTCTGGGGGTGGATTTTTCTGCCCGCTACAGTGGGGGCGCGCGTTGGGAAACCAGATGCTTTTCGTCAGGGTATCCTGGGTTTCTTCGCTCCTCGCGCTGCGCGGCGACTTCCCGCAGCCGTTGAAGGAGCTGCTGCGTTCAGGGTGCTCCGGGTTTCCCCTCAGGTGCACCTCGCACACGGGTTCTCAGGCTTGGGTTCCTTGCGAGGGTTTCTTGCGGACATCTGCCGTCCCACTGGAGGGCGGCCACCCGTCTCGCTCGTCGCCGTCGCCTCGCTGCGGCGGCGGGTCCCCGCGTGGCGCCCGCCCGCGCTGGACCGTTGCACGAGAGTCGGGAGGAGAAAAAGCACACAGACACAGTGAGTCGTCGAT